TAAAAGTTCCATTCGTATTACGATTGCATCTCAGTTGGGGTTCGGTACGGTTTCGGAACAGAATGGGAAACTTGTCAATTCCATTTCGAGACGTTAAGGTAAGAGCAAACAAGGATATTTTCAAACCCAACAAGGGGCTTTAACCTGGATATCGGCTTCAACATGGCTTCATAAGTACTTGTTTAGTGTAAAATTCTATACTGTAACTGATCATCAAGAGTTACCGTTCATTTACCACTCAACTAAGTCACTTTCCCAGTTATCTGCTACCATGATCTAGGAATGGTAATTAAGGGTTGAGTGATTATTATTTCATTGTTGAGCAATGAGTGGTTAAAAGCACACGACGTTCAGATTTTCCATCACCCCATTCACGCTTCAAAAGACCACCTAACGAATTCGATTGCACGCTGATTTGACCATTACCTGTTGATATAGCAGAATTTGAGAAGGATGCTCCTAACTATCTTGGAATTTTCATAGATGTATTGAGTGTATTCAGTGCAACCACAGATTTAGTGAGTTTTATAAAACGAAATAAGACGTGTCACTACATCCTGAAGGTATTTTGTTTTTTAATGACAGAGTAGTCATTCATTTTCCACTCGGATCTGCAGTATTAGATGACCTTCATTCCATACATCTGAGTGCAAAGAAAATGAAATCACTTGCTCATCAGACTTGCTGGTGGCCTGGGATTGACTATGATATAAATCAAAAATCGAGAGACTGTCCTGCTTTTTTATATAGGCTGTTCTTTTACGACGCTTCTTGGAATTCTTGGTCTGCACCTTATGAACCGTCGCAGCGTATTCACGTGGATTACTGCGGCCCATTTCTAAACTCATATTATGCTTTAGTCATTACTAATTCATATTTCGAACGGCCAGAAATGTTTTCTACGGGTATTTCACACAAAGGGTCATGAGAGAGACATTTTTTCGTGAGGGAATGCTCAATTCATTAGTAGCGGATAGTTGAACTCACTTCACAGACAAAGGGTTTAATAGCTGGTTTACTAATATTGAATGCTATCATCTAATTACAGCCCCACGACACCCTCAGTCCAGCGCTTTAACAAAAAGTTCCGTTTGAACTCTAGATAGTGCTATCACATCAGGGAATCCAGGGATTCTAGAAAAGCTGGACAAATGCATCGATAATTTTTTGTTTCACCATTGTGATGAATAAAATCCAAAAAACTAATGACAGCAGAGCTTGTGGTGGATCCTAGTGAAAGAGCGTTTTCAAAATATAGTAGTAAACACAGTTACTAATGACACACCAAAAAATATCAACATTGCTGGTCAAAGCGTCCGTTCGTGAATAAGGCAAAGCAGTGAAAATGACACTCGCAACAAAGCGGAATATTAAATAACAAAACGGTAACAATTTATTACGACATAAATGTTACTTGTAAGCTTCTTCCGAAGTACCAACAACAAATGAATTTATTTGATTAACGAAGGTTGTTCTTCAAGAGGTGGAATTAACGGCCTGATAAGACAGACAAATCTAACGGTATTAACATAACACCATCAAAATCTTCAATCACAGGCCGTGGTCAGTGAAAAAAGAAGAATAGACGACTAAAATAGAGTCTGTTTAAATGACACTGGTAGCATGAGTATTAATTAGCTAGTCACTTATGTCCGTCTTTATCGATTCAAATAAACAATAGCTATTGGAAATATATATATACCTCAATAGTGGTGAAGGCAACTTAGGATGAAGCGAAGGTTACTAAGCTGGGGTCCGAGTTCCTCATCCTTACTGGTCTTTCAAAACGCTTAGTGAGTAACAACACCTTTAAGAGTTGTTACCCTTGAAGAGGTTACGATATCACCTAAAACCGGTGAACGGAACAAAGTCAGCAACACAACAACAGGATAAGCGCATGTTCTTGGAGTTCACTCACACCTTGAACGCTTGTCGCCGTTATAGAAGCGGCCGCCTTTAGGAACGCAAGTTGATTCGTTACTTCACTTCTTCTTGAGTATGGAATGCGAGTAGGTTGAGGGTATCTATCAGGATTTCGAGTAGGAGATTTCCTTCCCTTGATAGGCGATCTGGAACTAGTTGTTTCCGTAACTGATTTCGGTGCCGAGCACACCTGTCGACTGCCACCTCTACCTCGTACATGACTTTCCCTAGCCTTCTGACCACACATTCTTCAGTCCAGAGGCCATGGTTTAGTCTGTAGTCCCAAGCGAACATCAGACATCCAACCTTGTACGTTCTCACCTCCTATGGCTTAGTTCGTGGTGGTGTGGTTCTCGAGAGAATCGTGTTGTAGATCGCCCTCAGCCTTCTTCCCGTGAACATCTCTTCTGGGGACAGCTGTTTTGGTAAAGTATCACTTGGTGTCGTTCGATAAACAAATATGAATTTCGGTAGTAATTAGATTGGCGTCCCCTTCCATAAGTGTCCACAAACCTTTCTTGCTGACCATTAGCCTATGGATGGTGAGGGACAGAGTAGAAATGTTTAATGGTCAGCGGTCAGGAGAATTCTTGAAGCTGGCTTGAAGTGAACTGCTAGCTAGTATCTGCTACGAATACATCAGGCAATCAGTTTCGGGATAAAATTTCCGTCAAACACTGTGATGGTTTGGTTGTCGTTGGTGGCATGATGGGGAGGATTCCGGCAATTTTGAAAACTCATCGACTACGACTAAATAAGTAGTTTCATTTATTTGGCCAGCGAAGTCGACATGAATCCTGAACCAGGGATACTTAAACTGTGACCATGAGACCTGAAGTGCTTTAGCGTTAAACTTCGCCGCTTACTGACACTGTGTGTATTTGCCTACGAACTCCACGATGAGTACTAATGGTAAGTAGCTCTCTCGATTATTCAGCCACTTCTACCTGTAAATAACTATTATCAAGGACCAGCTTTGTGAAGAACTTCCCATCGTCTAGCATAGTGAAAAAGTCTATAGAAGCTTGCAGAGAGTAATAATGTTGTTCTAGGGCTATGCTTAGGCCTTCTTGATGACTACATTGGGTGCTACCCATGTAGAATGGTAATGTCTGACGCATTATCTATTTGCAATCTAAATGGATGCCCATTAATATTAAGAGTAATGGATTTTCTCTCATCTAAGTTCAGCTTTGATAGAACGCTTGTGCTTATTTGCTGTACTTACTTACGCCAGTTATCCATCATCGAGGAACATGGGCCGCCCGTCATCACTCTCTATCCAACTTTGTCCTGTGCAATGTATATTCCACAAGCACTCAGAAGCACGAACACACAAGCACACAACTCAAACGTATATGTATAGTACAAAAATGTGTTTAGGAGACGTCAAAAAAAGCATATGAAAATAGACGAAGAATCAGTGATATTTAAGGTCTTTTCAAGTGGGAAATATGAGCTGAATGTGAAATTAGGCACTTTTGGCGTGAAAATGAGAAACTTAAATTTGCAAAATAGAATTAGAAATGAGACGTTTACCAAGTGATTTATGAGGATCTAGCATCCCTAACAAGAGTTGAGATATGTTTCATGAAAGTCCACACTTTAATACCGTAGCATACGTCCTCAAGTTTAGAGTTTTCCAGAATTCTTTTTGTTGAGTCTAGAGAAAGTAGAAGTTTGAGAGATCTAAATCATATAGGGCTGGTACTCCCAATTTGTAAGGTATATGTTAAGAAACACAAAGAATGCAGCTAATTGGTTGTGTCAATTATTAAAATAACTGTCTCGCAACATCTGGTATCTAATGTAGGTTGCACAAATTGAGTAATTCACTACTGGGAGATACAATGGTAAGTGGAAAAATCTTTACGAAGGAGCCTATCAATCCACAGAAATTTTAACAGATTAAAGAAGTATATCTTTCTTTCAGTACTCAATATATACGGATTGACTGGTAAAGGTACACTGTAAATGATTAATTTGGTTTCAAATTTAAACCTTAAAGTACACTAAACAGAATTTTTAAAAAATCTAATTCTTGTTTGTTACACACAATTTCAGGATGTCATAATTAAATTCCTCTAGTTTATTTTGATTTTGGTTAAGTGCTTAAGCGCGAAACCAGTAGGTCCTGGGTTCGAATCTCGCGGGAGGCGAGGTCGTGGATGCGCACTTCTGAGGAGTCTCACAATAGGACGAAACGGCCGTCCAGTGCTTCCAGGTTTTCCATGGTGGCCCAGCTTCAACTGACTCATGATCTTAACCATTGAAATTATTTTGATTTTGTTCTGTTTATATGAAATTGTATTTAGATTTGATTTCACATATTTTCAACTATCGATAGTTCTTATATGATTTAGTTTTATAAAATTTTCAAATTTATCAGAGCTATACACTAAACTGAAAGTACAATTCCATGTTATGGAATGTACAGTAGGTAGTGGACTTGTGGTTACACTTGTTCATTGTACAATTTTTAAAGAAATATATGCATATCAACCATCTTGAACGTAACTTGAGTGCATGAATCTTTGTGTATGTGTGTGCGTGTGTGTGCATATTTTCAAGTTTAAGTGATTTACTTGAACCAATTAATGGTTAGCTCACAATAAGACACATACATATATATGAAGAAACTATTAAATTCCTTTTTCACACCAATCAATTGTTAAAACATTGTTATTTCGTTTATTCTTTGACTTTATGAATAATTCATTATTCCTTATTACGTCTGAAGTTTCGTTTCTTTACGTTCATAGTTTCGTTTCTTGCACCGAGTAGTGAATTACTGGAATTCTCTACCGGAACACGTAATATCAACATCTTTTGTTAATATATATTCAAAACGAGATTAGACCTCCACAGCATTACAAACTGCTAGGATTAATATAGATCGTTAGACCTCTTATCCTTATTACTGAAGACTTATCTTACAATTACTTTATAAACATTAAATTACATTGACAAGGGTTCAATCTTATGTATTATGTTTCTACTTCTTTAAATGATCAAACACTTTAACTTGTGAAATGATTGATTCTATAGATAATCAATAAAATAAATGAAATAGAAACATGCAAAATAATAATTCTACAAATAATGATCATTTTAATGATTGTTATGAGGATATATCAAAATCCATTGAAGCAATTCAATCAAACCATTTAAATCAATCTATTAATAATAATGATATAACAGGAGATATAAACGATACAAACAATAATGAACTGAATTTAATGAAACGATCCAATTCATGCAAATTGGATTCATTGAACACTTCTACATCATTACCATTGAAACGATCGTTTCCATGTGAAAAATCTCAATATCATATTGGTTGGAGACCAGTAACTGCATTTATGACAAATTTACAATCAAAATTATTGAATCATTCAAATGATTTAAAATCGGAACAACCAAATCAATCTATTGAACATAAATCAAATATCAATCATTTAGGTCGATTTAATATTGGTTGTCCATCTGGATGTAATTCATCTATAGCTGATGTGACAGTCAATGAAGATTATGAATACTATACAGATATGATACAATCATCAGAATTATTAAATAATCAACAAAATCCTATTCAATCAGAATCAATTACATATAGAAATTGTCATCAATCACCACATTATATGGAAAATGATCATTTATCTAAAACTTGTACAGGGACTTCAAAAGCTCCAGTAATTGTAAGATTAAATGTTAGTGGTACAATATTTCATGTAAGACATAGTACATTAAAACGTGATCCATTTGTCTATGGTAAAATGTTAGAAGATGCTATATGGATTGCACAAACAAAAGAATATTATTTTGAAAGAGATCCAGAAGTATTTCGATTTATATTAAGTTATTTAAGAAGAGGTGAATTACATTTACCTCATGGAATGTGTGGTCCACTTGTTGAAAAAGAATTAGATGATTGGGGTATAGCATTAGGTTTAGATATTCAAAGATGTTGTTTAGGTCCAGTCATGGAAAGTAAATCAAAATTGGAATCTTTACATAGATTTGAAGAAAAATTAGAACCAGAAGCTGTACAACCAGATTATTGGATTCAGTAAGTGGATCAATCATATAATAATAATTTTACTATTAATCAATTATTATTATTATTATTATTATTATTATTATTATTATTATTATTATTATTATTATTATAAGTTTATCAATTATTGATTAGCAATGAATTGTTAAATCGTAATACTGTCACCAAGTTTATGATTATTACACTTGTTTTTTTGATACTACTACTACTACTACTACTATTACTACTACTACTACTACCACTACTACTACTACTACCACTACTACTACTACTTCTACTACTACTACTACTACTACTACTACTACTACTACTAACAATAATAACAATAATTGTCAATCTTATCATTCCTTCTACCGTAACCGTATGTGCGACAGTCAGTCAGTCAGTAACAACTTAGAACGTCATAGGTACGTACATCAGTATGTACATCCGTATGTATCTACACATGTTTATTACGTCACGGTTTCCTACTCACTGTGTTTTACTTCTTATCAACGGAACTTCCCTGAATGTAGGAATTAACTATTAGTATTATCATTATTCTTCATTGGTCAGCTAAATAATTTAATACACACAAAATCGTATTGGTAAAATATTTTATTTATTTATACAAATCAGTAGGTAGTTGAAAAATTAAGAGTAATTTAAATGAAATGAATTCACTTCATCTTACAATGTTGTTAATTGTGTAAAATAATATTATGAAAATTAGTGGTTGAAAACAATACTGGGTTGCAGGTACTTACCTACTTACTTACTAACTTATGCCTGTTACTCCCAATGGAGCATAGGCCACCGACCAGTATTCTCCAATCCACTCTGTCCTGAGTCTTCCTATCTAGTTCTATCCAGCTGTTGGTCATTCTTCTCATGTCTATCTCTATTTCTTGACTCAATGTATTTTTTGGTCTCCCTCTCTTTTTTTGGCCCTGAAGATTCCATGTGAGGTCTTGTCTTGTGATGCAGTTCTGTGCTTTCCTCAATGTGTGTCCTATTCACTCCCAAAGCTTCTTCCTGATTTTGTCTTCCGCTGGGATCTGATTTGTTCTCTCCTATAGCAAGCTGTCGCTGATAGTGTCTGGCCAACGGATCCAAATTATTTTGCATAGACAACTCTTATTAAACACTTGTATGTTGTGGATGGTTGTTTCCGTAGTTCTCCAGGTTCTCGCCCCATACAGTAGAACTGTCTGGTCATTTGTATTGAAAATTATGACCTTGCTGTTGGTTGACAATTGTTTTGAGTTCCAGATGTTCTGCAACTGTAGGTATGCTGCTTTTGCCTTACCGATCCACGCAGGTACATTCAAATAATGAGCCTTGAAGTAGAATAAAACGCGCGTGCCGAATCTCATCGGCAACTACTAACTCACTTTACTAAAAATATTGAGGTAATCTACTTCGGATGCATATTTACGAAAAGAAACTGATAAGCTGAACTCCTCACCAACAATAATGGGAAGATTCAAAGATATAAATAAAACAACATAAGTGTCTTCGACAGGGTTGCTAATCGCACAGCCAATCCCCTTTTACTTGGCGCCAGGGCCAACAGTAGCTTTAGGAGGATTCCAAGTAGATCTATTTAACATTAATTTTCATAAAACTATTTAGTGTTCACTTCGATTTATTTCAATGAAAATTTCTGCAACTAACCACTTTATAAGATAAATTTCTATTTTGAATTGATTCATTTCAAAGGAACTATTTAGTGGAGATTCATTCAATTGAAGTGTTTGAATTTAAACACAATTTGATTATGATATGGTGTCAAACTATCAGTTAAAATAGTTTGATAGTAATATATAATACTGAGTACTTTTTAAAAGAGTAGGACGACATCTTAATAGTCTAAAGGTTGGGTAGTCGTGCACGAGACCGAAAGTCCTGGGTTCGAATGCCCTCTGCCAACAACACTTTTTAGAAGAGATTAATATTACTATTTATTCAAATTACATATACCAAAATGGTTGCAAAATCAGATGAATTCCAATGGTGAAATAAGATCACAGGATAGATAGACATCATCATCCATTGCGAAACATTTGATTGAGACGGGTCAAAAGGTTGATATCAAATCAGTATTTGTTGTGTTGTACAAAAGCCTTCAAGGACGTATATTAAGGTTCATTGAATCCTTGGCTATACGAAAACTGAAACCCCCTTTATGTGTTCAAAAACAATTTGTGCTTACACTTAACCTACCCTGGTAGTACTGATTTACTATCTAGAGTGGTAATCACATTTGTTTTTGTGTACTTTAATATTTTTCCTTTGTTATGACTTACCCTTAATCTATCTAGTTGACCTTTTAATTTTCATATATAAATGTTCTTAACAAGTATATAAGGTGTGATCAGATTATTCGAAATGTATTGCGCAAATATATCACAAAATTCTGATAAACTACGTCTTCTCATTGCATTATCGAAATATATTTAATAGTTAAATTCATGAGTTCACTAAAGGTAAACCATCATAGAAAACCTAGAAGCACTGGATGGCCGTTGCGTCCTAGTGTGGGAACCTTCAACAGATGATAAATGTTAGTTTTGTGGATTTTCTCGAGCCACTTACATCAGTGAAACAATAGGGTTCATTTTTTTCAAACCAACGTACATACTTTATATTATATAAGTGAATAATAATAATAAGAGAATAAATATGGGGGAATTATAACATCTTTTGCTTATCTTTATTAATAATATATAGAGTGTGCATATTGACTTTAAAGAACTAACCTTATTGTTTGGATGCTATAAGCACCTGAAGTGAATTCATACAATACACGAATCCATATTAATTTAACACGTTATTTATTCTTGTTTTATCAACATAGGGTTGTGAAGACTGTTGAGTTTTAATTGAGATCATGAACGACTGGAAAACTGAAAACACTGGACGGTCCCTTCGCCCCAGTTTGGGACTTCTCAGCGGTGATCATCCGCGATCCTATATGCGGGATTTGAAACCGAGGACCTTTGATCTTGCGCGAACTCAAGTGCTTTCAGGTTTTAAATGGTGGTCTACTATTGGTCGGTTCATGAACTCAACTAAAAGTCAACAATCTTCAAAACCCTTTACTGATAATTATCATGTATCCACTGGTGACTAGCTTTGAGAGGAACTTCTCTGAGTTCTAGTTAGAAGCCGTGACCAGTGGAGTTCAAACCTGTTGGGTGTGAGACAGATATCCACCGAAGACAATAAAACATGGTCGCTCAATATCGTGGATTGGTTGATATTAAACATTAACATCGTTGGATACCGGCTCAGTGGTCCAAACGTTTATCGTTTGCACCAGAGACTGAAGGCCCTGTGTTTCGAATCCCACTTGTGAAATTGTGGATGCGCAGCAGTTCGTTCTGTCCTACTTTATTGCAGTGAGACGTGGCCGGTAACAGTAGAGGATATTCGTAGGTTTCTAGTATTCGATCAGGTGTCTTCGAAGCATTGCTCGTATATCCTGGGACCATCGAGTAATTAATGCAGTTGTTAGGAAACGGATACTAGGTAAGGATGACAAATCAATTGATGAAGTAGTGAAACTTCAACAGTTGAGATGACTGGGACACGTGTTACGTATGCCCAACCACCGACTGCCCCGACGAGCGATGTTTTGTGGTGTAGGAGTAGGTTGGAAGAAAGCTAGGGGCAGTCAGACCAAAACATTGCACAAATCCATGAAGTCACTGACAAGTGAACTGAGCCATGTTGGTAGGTGTAGACTACCTGATTGAGATCCGCGAGATGATAGCAACCGATGGATAGAGACCTTGAATTACATGGCTCAAAGTCGTTTGCGATTGGGTAGGTGCATCCACTCTTTGTGTTCTCCCAAATTCTAATCTTCTGAATTCATGTTCCTTTTTTCGTCTTTCCAAATTTATTTCACTGGATTATACTCCTTGGAAAGCATCTTCAAACCCTAATCTTTCCGATAACTGCTTATACTTTTACCACCTCTACCACTATGGGATTTGAATCGACAATTGTATCTGTGTACTAATGTGGTATGGCAACTTGAACTGATGTGCGAACCTACGAAGTTCTACGTTGTTACTAACTGACTGAGGTGTATACACGCTCTATCTTCCCTTAAACTGCGAGATTAAAATCGCTTCATATCTTTCTTTCTACGAACTAATACTATATCCTTATATGCACTTTTTCTTTTATATATTACCACCACTGAGTTAACTACTTCTATTAATCCGATGTTCATCTTGTTGTGCCAATGAAGTATGACAACTCAAACCGATACATATATGTGCCTGGTCCTCTGTTGTAACTGACTGACTTATGTCATTGAACAACCACTAGTCATTTCTTACGATTAACATAATCTTCATTTATTATTTTTAAAAAATAGAGATCAAGGTTATCAATTCCTACTTTATTTCATATTTCTCTCTTACTTAACTTGAAAGTATTTTCTTTTTTGTTAATGGGTTAAACAGAGTCGTTGAACTTTTTTCTTTCTTGGTAGATTATGATATTTTAAAATTAACTTTTCAGTTGAATATTCTGATACAAAATTATAAACGATACAATCTAAATGTGAAATATACTTTGGAAAAAAAGTAGTAAATATAGGTCATATAAAATAAACCCGTAAGAAAAGAGAAACCTGATCATATATATCAGTGAATAGTTTCAGTGGTAAAACATATTTTTAACCAAAGAATGACGAAAAACCAATGAATTCCTACTAAGTCTATTACACTAATAGATTCTCGTAAACTTATTCCATCGGGCATGAAATATGATGAACAACGAAAACAAATCACATTTAGTTTAAGGGAAAGTCTAAGGAACGACCGTGAGCCGTGGTGTGCAATGAAAGCAGAGGAGATGAAAAAGGCGGCGGCTGTAGCTAACACTAGATAGCTTTTCGGACTAATAAAACAAGCTGGAATTAAGAAGTTAAGTGTAAGCGATACAATCTCGAAAAAAGATGACACTGTTATCTTTTTTGAGCCCAGATGTTTAAAAAGATGAGAGGAACACTT